CGTACTATAATTATATTTTGTATGTTTTTATCATCATGACATATTGTATAACTTGAAATGACATTGTAATTTAGGCAAATTTAACTATTGCGCTGTCGAGGGAATACCTGTAACCTCTAAATATGAGTTAACGATTTTATTCACGATTTTAATTAACAAATTTATTAAATGTAAATGGTTGACGAAATTTTTTTAAATATAGCTCATCACGGGTCAAAATATCTTTTCTTCCGTCATTATTTATTGCCCAGAGTAACGCAAGGCTTTATATATTGATGAAACGTAAATACGATATTAGTTTCAAAGTACGAGGGAAATAATTTCCCTACGAATGGTAGCACTGGCAGTCTGGCTGAGACATGAAGACGTTGACGTCTGTAACAAGCCTTCTGGCGCAAGTTGAATCAGCTGCTCCGTACAATCAGCCGGCGACAACAGCTTTCATGAATAATAATTATGACGCACGATCAAGAGCTGCTGTCTTCTACACTAGAATTCTTCTGATGCAGTGCTTATGGCCAAGCTTGACATACCCTGTTAGGCCAGGCCACTAGGCACAAAACTTAAACAGATAGCACATAATTATGTAACCATAAAGTATCAAACAATTTCATAACTAATTAAGGTTTTAATTAATATTAATTAAATAACATTTCAAGCATTTGAAGCAAATTTTATCAAACTGTGTCCTCTCCCATTGCAAACTCAAAGCTTGAGTATAATAAGCGTTTTAAACTTACATGCCAACCCCGTACGAAGGACGGGTACTCTGCTATAGTTCCCTATAAATATGAATACTCATAAGGTTAACATGGGGATCTACAGAGCCACTGGGGCGGAGCCCGAAAGGATTTTTGAGATAAGAATATGCCTATATGTTAATCGGGAATGTGAGCTATCATCATGCAAAATTTCAGCCCAATCCGTCCAGTTGTTGCGTGATTGAACTTCAAACAAACAAACGCAGAAACTTTCAAATTTATAATATTAGTAAAATATTTTTACAACAGTTAGTTAATTGTTGACAACAATTCTTTTTATGTCTTCTTTCAAAGTTTTCCTCTAATATTTGTTTGTTTGTAGCAAAAACGTATATAGCCTAAATCAAGTAAGTGCGGTAAATAGCTTGGAACCGATCTTTTTTCAGTTATACATATTTACACCTATGTGTACTTTTTAATATGTAAAAAGTTGCCTCGGTTGGTTCAGAGTACATTGTACACAAGTTCTATCTTTGTATATTTGTTAGTTATGGTCGTGTGTGTGTTTTGCAACATTCCTCATAAAAAATAATCGTTCACATATTCTCTACAGTCACGCGAAGTCACTAAAGTAACTTCTGTAGAATTTTACGTCATCGCTTTTCTAGAAGCATTGGTGTCATTTAAATCTTACGTTGCATCATTTTATTTTCTTCTTCTTTTTCTCAAGATAAATGCCTCATTAATTGACTCCAGGTTCATTACGAACATATTGCAGATCTTTTGCTTAAAATACAGGACTGATAACCTTGTTTACAATTGAATTAGACATCCCCCCAATACCAAAAATATTATATAAAAACACCTTTGGCTTTATATCATAGATAATACCTAAGTATATGGAAACGAAGCAGATTCACTTATGAAAACTGGTGATTAACGGACGTACGGAGAGTTAAAAAAATATTTTCCCTTCATGCTCGTATTGCCTTTTACCACATAATAAAATTCTTTAATCTGTGGTTTACAGACGAGTATGTTATTTTATAGGTTCAAGACACAACTAAGCCAGACCCAAAACTGTAATGCGGGAAGTAGTGTGATAACTTTCCTTATCACCTAGCTGACAACCACTATCATTGGTATCACCGTTTGTTCAAACTTCCGCCCCTATACAACGATGACGGTTGCTGAGGCTTAATATCAGCTGTTGTAATAATGGTTGCCTGAGGAATCAGCTGATTTTACACAGTGGGACAAAACCCATCGTCTCAACTACTGTAACTTCCCATTCCATGAACACCGCTATAGCTTGTAGCTTATAGTATTACTGCACATTTTCACTGAAATGAATTAAGCCTATGTTGATTTGACATAACAAACCAACAAAAGCAATAACTTAATGTAAATAATCAAAAGTTATCAAAATTACAACAAAGCTTGAAATAGTTATTTGTGCAACTAGTGAGAAAAGTGAGCAATTGACTCACTCGAGAGAAATCCTTACTCACGAGCCGTAGGCGAGTGAGGAATGGTTTCTCGAGTGAGGCAATTGTACTTTGAACTCGAGTTGCACATTATACTTTTCCTACAGTTACCATAAAACAAATAAATTGGTGAAGAAACATAACCTATTTTTACACAGAAGTGAACTTTTAATATAACATTTAATGTGAAGTGACAAATACAACAGTACAACAGCTGATTTACAGCCAGTGCTGCCAACGTATTTCGCGCGCATACGACGTTGCCTACATGTTACGCGCTCACTATTTCGTGCCTTCACGTTGCAAATCTGGAGTGAGACAAAGTAATTAGAGTGAGACAATGTTAACATTGTCTCACTGATGAGCGCATTGGCCACTTTGCTTTCTCAAATCAGTGAGAGAACATGTACATTGTTAGGTAACTGTAGGAAAACATATATTTCTCGATGTTTGAGGATTTAAATTACTTTTGAAATACCTTGTAACTGAGCTTTGAACAAGACATAAGACTGCCTTATATTTCTGTTTGTACTACAACATTTTAATACTAGTGCACCTGTTGCTCGAATTCGAGCAATTGCAAAATGTTGCAGGCGTTATTTCAAGACGAATAACAGTCATAATTTTCGATTACTTAAAAGAGTCAACACAAAGATAAATAATCAATTACTCCACTCCAGTTATCCAAACTGAAAACGAACGCTCTTGTTTGTATCATGCATTTACTACGAACAACTGTATTATTACAAATTATTCGTCTGTTTAAGAAAACATAATTTTTTCTTAATAAGAATCTGTGGGGCAAAGCCCGAAGACTTTTATTACAGGAATTGGTGAAAGGGGGCGTCTACACAACAAATAATGTTGACACCTCATATGTAAAAATCCGTCAATTATTAACGGAGGAGTAGTGTTTCGTAGAAATCGCCTTCACGTATTATATATATAAGGATTCGAATACATACAATTTTTCATTCATTTTAATTGAACTATTATCAGACCGGTATTTTCGAAGTATTTCGAAGAATAATTATGAAAACACAAGTCCTTCAAGTCAGTGTAATATGTTCTATTAGCAATAATAATAAAATGGGCCTACTTTGTCTGCCAGTAAAAATGTCAATGAATTTAATTGATGTTCGCATAATGTAATACACTCGCCACAAACTTAGTTGATATCATATTCAGTGCACGTGTGGCATGTTGAGACACTTGAGACGAAAATAGCGGATGAAACGGTGGTCTTTAGTTTTTGTTTATCACGTCGTCTTTATTGAAGTTGGCGAGTGGATAAATTGCGGACGCGCTCTCAAAATAACCTGCAATTTAAACGTTATACGTGTTAGTCTTTGACATGTAAATTTAGAAAATGTTTTTTAATTTATATATTTTAAATAGAACCTATGATTTTGAAATCATAGTATCTCTCATGCGAATCTATCTAGACAAGATAACGTTTTATCCCGGCTCGTGACTCACACACTACACCATGTCACAAAGGATATCCAACTATGTATTCAATGTCAGATTAAAATGGAAAATTATGTTCAAAAGTTTATGAAGTAGTATCAGAAAAGTAATAGTTTCCTTCTAAACGATCATCATACAGTACAAGGAATGTTCGAGGCCTGCGCAAAAACCGAAATGCTGCATGGTTTTAACCGAAGCCCAGCGCTCTACGCAACGACCAACATTATTTTGAAGTAAGCTTGCTTATTCCCTCTCTGCGTGAGTTAGAACAAGTTTTCCATGTTTTCCAACACCTACGTTGCCTCCTACTGCTAAACCTTTCAAACACATGTTCAACAGTAACTGTACAAAGGAGAAAGTAGGGTATATCACACCAAGATAGCCCAAATCACGTTAGCTACAGTGCCTCTGGTCATGGCAACTTCCATTGTTTGTTCAGAGTATACAATGAAAGTTGTCAAGTACTGCAAAGTTGTCAGTGAGATTCCCGCCAATATAGACATGCACGCCCTTTTTATGGCGGGAAAGACAGAGGTTATGCGGGATATGTTTACTTTAAACCCTACATTATTTTGTAAAATAAGTGAGAGTGTAGTTTTTTTTTTTGGCTAGTGTAATTTTTGTAGCACCACTCTCATCGAGTTGTTTTTAGGAAAAACAAAGAGTGTATAAAATTTAAGTGAACAATTAATTGATATCATTGCCAGTAATGATTATTGGTATTATCTTTATTAGTATTGTGAATAATAACGATTTTCATAACGTTTCTTAAAATTATGGTTTTGAACCGTAGATATGGAACTTATGTGCAAGTGTTGTTATTTGTGAGTTTATGTAGACTATAGTTGATATACTGTATATAAACTCTTAATTACATATAAATAACAAAATTCCGCAGCATGTCCGTTTTTAGACGAACAAAAACAGAAAACAAAAATCGTAACCGACGTTAGGTGAAGCAGGATTTAAAAAATGTATTTTCAATCTCAAAATATAATAGTTTGTGTTATATAGGCTAGCTGAATGAGATTCCGTGATCATAGAGTTCTGCATTATATTTATTGCTTATCAGTTATTGCTTATTGCAAATATTATAGTAAACAACCACTTCAGGAATGTGTCAAAATACCTCAAATAAATATTCAAAGAACTTAGAATCTTCATTATATTTTGTATTGCTTTTCCAATCTTATAAACTTTATTTTTAGCTCCAAATTTTGAAATCAAGTTCTTGTAAATTCTTCTAAAGCTGTAAAAAAACTGTTAGTAATTTAAATTAAATTAGTATAGTATATAATATGGTGTGTGTAGTCTGCGTAGCTTATCATGTTTTTTGTTTCAGTTTTCATGTTGGAAAAGGATCTTCGGTCATTGAAAAAATCTGTGAGTAAAAGTCCAAGTTATATTAGTCTAAGCTAACTGTTTTAATATTTGGTGTGAATTTATCAGATTTAGACTAGGCCTACTATTAAGCGTTTCTTGTCACTGTATTCAGTACGGGGCGTTGCTTGAAGCCAACGGAAAGCGACGCAATTTCCTATTTTCAGCTCATAGTCCAGGACCTGACTAGGGTTCTGTGTGCATGTCGTGTATAGAGAATTTTGCTTTTGCATTTCAATATAGGTGTCTTAGGAAGTGTTTTCCACTCGGGTGTCAAGTTCGCACCTGGTACGTTTTCGAGCTATGACGTCATCAAAATGGCGGCCATTGATTTTTTTAAATCGTATATTTCGCAAACTATTTGTCGGATCGGAATGAACTTTTTTTTGTTTGAAAGATAATTTTAAATGCTACCTGTTTTACATTTACACATTTGTTGTATGTTTAGTACATTCTTCGTAATTTTGCAAAAACCTGTATTTTTAAATATTTTTGAGTTATTTTTGTTTGTAACGTTTTATTGATACAATTTATCAAAAACCACCAATGAAAAAAGTTGTAGAACATTTAAAAAGCTTTACAAAAATACCAAATTCGATATGTTTTACTCAAAAGATTACGTCAAGAAACTAGATAAATCTCATAAAAACACCAATTTTGGCGCAAAACTATTAGTCCGGCATCTAGGGCAGTTCGCAAGTCTTATAAAGACAGTTTCACCATTCAATGTTGATGTATGTGTCTAAATAAGTGTTTTCAACTCGGGTGTCACGTCTGCACCCATTGCAGTTTCCGGTTATGACGTCATTAAAATGGCGGAAAGGGCTAAGTTATATTAAAAATAACGATATTTTACATACCATGTATCGGATCGGAACGACCTTTTTTTTGTTTGAAAGATAAGTTAACATGCTATCTTTCTTACATTTACACTTTTGTTTTATGTTTAGTACATTTTTCGTAATTTTGCAAAAACTTATATTTTTTAACATTTTTGTGTTATTTTTGTCGATAACGTTTTATTGATAGAATATATCAGAAATAATCTAAAGACAAAGTTGTAGCACGTTAAAAGAGCTTTACAAAAATACCAAATTCGATATGCTTTACTCAAAAGATCACGTCAAGAAACTAGAAAATCGTACCAAACAACCTAATTTTGCGCAAAAACGCATATAAATCCGACATCGATGGCTGTGTACGAGTCATATATAGACAGTTTTACCATTCAATGTTGATGTATGTGTCTAAATAAGTGTTTTCAACTCGGGTGTCACGTCTGCACCCACTGCAGTTTCCGGTTATGATGTATTTAAAATTGCTACATGTTACGATTTCACCAGCTATTTTACTTAAAATAAGACAATTACCCTCTTTTATGCAAATAAAAGCACAACAAATTAATGTAATTAGTCCATAGGAATGTTTCCACTATATAAATACCCCCGGTGCAGCAATCCTGTCGACTAAGCGAATTTCCATTAGCCTGGATTGATTTTCAATTAATCTATTAAATTAACATTAAATTAACAACTCAAACAATGTTAATTTAATAGATTAATTGAAAATCAATCCAGGCTAATGGAAATTTGCTTAGTCGACAGGATTATTCGATTAGTCGATCCGATACATGGTATGTAAAATATCGTTATTTTTAATATAACTTAGCCCTTTCCGCCATTTTAATGACGTCATAACCGGAAACTGCAATGGGTGCAGACGTGACACTCGAGTTGAAAACACTTATTTAGACACATACATCAACATTGAATGGTGAAACTGTCTTTATAAGACTTGCGAACTGCCCTAGATGCCGGACTAATAGTTTTGCGCCAAAATTGGTGTTTTTATGAGATTTATCTAGTTTCTTGACGTAATCTTTTGAGTAAAACATATCGAATTTGGTATTTTTGTAAAGCTTTTTAAATGTTCTACAACTTTTTTCATTGGTGGTTTTTGATAAATTGTATCAATAAAACGTTACAAACAAAAATAACTCAAAAATATTTAAAAATACAGGTTTTTGCAAAATTACGAAGAATGTACTAAACATACAACAAATGTGTAAATGTAAAACAGGTAGCATTTAAAATTATCTTTCAAACAAAAAAAGTTCATTCCGATCCGACAAATAGTTTGCGAAATATACGATTAAAAAAAATCAATGGCCGCCATTTTGATGACGTCATAGCTCGAAAACGTACCAGGTGCGAACTTGACACCCGAGTGGAAAACACTTCCTAAAACACCTATATTGAAATGCAAAAGCAAAATTCTCTATACACGACATGCACACAGAACCCTAGTCAGGTCCTGGACTATCACTACCGTGACCAAAATCAACTCTTTTGTTCAAACAGAACCGATCACAAACAAGACCCACCTCTTAGACTAAATTACATCAGTCAATAACTAGAAAGACCCCATCAAATGAGGTAAATTTATATTTTGTACTATAGTTAATTTACCATCAATGTGATGAAAAGGGTGTCTGGAATTAATCTTACAATAAGATGTGTTTGTAGCATAAGATTTGTTGTTCTAATAAATTTTTTTGTTAAATTCACTATTATTGCAACGTAACAGTCTATAGTACGTGAGATTGTCAGTTTTGCCATACGCACCTGTCATAACATGCTTCTGTTGCTGTATTGCCTTCACAATAACCTGTTGGATACGCGTTATTGTAGTCCAGAACTAATTATGATTCGAAAGTATGGTCTTTGAACATGTTTTTGACAATTTAGACAGACTGTCATGCCTATCATGAAAATCTTTTAGTAGTTCATCCTCTACTTAAAGTTCTCAAGTTTGTATGGTTTCGTTGTATTTAAGTCCATGATAGCTACTATAGTTACTGTATTTTTTACTAATATGGAAGCATACTATTGCTAAAGTCTTCATTGTAGACCAAGACCTAGGTATAGCACCACTGTATTATTTTGTGTAAGCTTAATTAGGACCAAACATGTTAATAATCACTATTTTAATGATTTTGGGAACCAGTCCGACAAAAAAAGGTAGGATTGGGGATCAATTCATCATAAAATCAATATTTTAGTCCTGTACATATCCTTGCAAAAATATAACGTTGCTATTTAAATCAGTTTAAGAAGACTCACTAGTGCGGACGTTAATCATCCTACACTCATCTCCATTCATACTTGGCTTAAAATACCTACTTTGTATGGTCGCCATTTCGATGAAAAAGTATTAAAAGTATTAATCCACACCAGGGTGTATTGCATCTACAGATTATGCCTGTAAATATTCACAATTCGTGACCTCTAAGTAGCTGGATTACAGAACGAAGCCCCAAAGCACATTACAGTTGTCCCTAAAGCTGTCATCTCATACATTTAACATTCATCTCGGGCTTAAAACAAGTACCCTTGAGTGCCTTCGTCGTAAAAATCGATTCGAAAATATCGAACTGAACCGAATTACATACGTTTTTTTAAAATAAATTTATCTTTTCGTTTAGAAGCGTGAGTCACATGTCCAATGTTTAACGCATAAGTATTAATTCCCACTAGAACCGCACTATAATTTGGATTGATACAAAGTCTGGTCAGGGAACAAGTGGCAGTAATAATAGAATGCTATCGTCATCAATTACAGGTTGTTTTCACGCTATGGTCAGTCGAGGTGTGTTAATCATTTATGACCTAATTCGTCAACGCTAGTTTAATTTCTTCCCGCATGAATGCAGATATTAAATCAACTACTGTAGTGCTATCGATTTCGCACTTTTTTTTACACAAATGCATAACACTTTGTCACTTTAATATGATATTAATTTGAAGGTGCAAAGTGTCTACAAATTGTTTAAAAATAAAATTGTAAGTGGAATGAAACATGTCACGTGCTTGTAATCGGTTTTTCAAACTTTCGCTAGTTGATTTGGGATAGAATACGTAAAGTCTTTTAAACATGGATCTAAATCTAAATAATTTTATTACATATTAGCATAGTACCTGGGGACCGAGCTTTGCTCGGGGAAAATTATAACTTTACTCTGAAAAGTATTGCAGATACATTAATCCACTCCCAATCTCCACACTGCTAACCTTCACTACTTACTTCACCACTCCCTACGTCGTGGACCTGTTTGCCCCCTTCCCTATACCATTTTAGAATTGCAGATACATAAATGCCACAGACAGTTCCCACACTCTGCATTGCTAGCATTACTACTTCCTACACCATTTCCTACGTCATGGACCTTTTTTCCTCTCCTCCCTTCTCGTAGCATTTTAGGATTGTAGATACCTTAATGTAGTTCCCATAAACAGTTCCCAGGCTCCAGACTGCTCGCCTTTACTACTTCCTTCACCACTTCCTACGTCGCGGACCTGTTTCTCCCCCTTCCAATGGCATTTTAGGATTGCAGATACCCTAATCTAATCGTCATTAACAGTTCCAACACTCCGGGCTGCTTGCCTTTACTACTTCCTTCACCTCTTCCTACGTCGCAGACCTGTTTCCCTCCATTCCCATAGCATTTTAGGATTGTAGATACCTTAATCTAATCGTCATAAACATTTCCCACACTCCGGACTGCTCACCTTTACTACTTCCTTCACCACTTCCTATGTCGCAGACCTCTTTCCATCCCTTCCCATAGGATTTTAGGATTGTTGATTCTTTAATCTAATCGTCATAAACAGTTTCCACACTCCAGACTGCTCGCCTTTACTACTTCCTTCACCACTTCCTACGTCGCGGACATGATTCCCTCCCGTCCCATAGCATTTTAGGATTGTAGATAACTTGATCTAATCGTTATTAACAGTTCCCACACTCCGGACTGCTCACATTTACTACTTCCTTCTTCCTTCACCACTTCCTACGTCGTGAACCTGTTTCCCTCCCTTCCCATAGCATTTTAGGATTGCAGATTCCTTAATCTAATCGTCATAAACAGTTTTCACACTCCAGACTGCTCGCCTTTACTACTTCCTTTACCACTTCCTACGGCGCGGACCTGTTTCCCTCAATTC